ACATTTTTTCATGTGTCTGGTAGCCATTTGTATGTCTTTGGAGAAGTGTCTGTTCATGTCTTCTGCCCATTTTTTGACTCGATTATTTGTTTTTTGGGTGTTGAGTTTGAGAAGTTCTTTATAGATCTTGGACACCAGCCCTTTATCTGTAGTGTCATTTGCAAATATCTTCTCCCATTCCGTGGGCTGCCTCTTAGTTTTGTTGACTGTTTCCTCTGCTGTGCCGAAGCTTTTCACCTTGATGAAGTCCCAGAAGTTCATTTTTGTTATTGTTTCCCTTGTCTTTGGAGATGTGTCTTGAAAGACGGTTGCTGTGGCTGATGTCAAAGAGGTTAATGCCTATGTTCTCCCCTAGGATTTTGATGGATTTCTGTCTGACATTGAGGTCTTTCATCCTAAATGCCTCTTCTTTAGAGAAGTTGTCCCTGAATCTCTAGCCCAAATGAGAACCTGCTCTTACAGCACTAATTGTATTCATAATGATGTGTTTCCTGGTGTAATTATGAGCTTGGTGTCTGTCTCCCCCACTAAAGCAGGAGCATCCACAAAGGCGGTATTTGGCTAGTATTTCTTCAAGGAACAAATGAATGAGGACACCAGGCTCATTGGGCTGGAGACCAGAATGCAGGTCCCCACTGTCCGGGGGGCAGAGCAGGACCCATGATAGCAGGTGCCAAAGAGGAGGGCTCTCCCCAGAGGTCTGAAAAGACCCCCTAGCCACTCACCTGTGCCCCCTCCTGGCCCACCTGCTGCCCACACACACAGCCGGACCCGGAGCACTAGAACACTGCAGCTTTATTTATTGAAACAACCGCGTCCGCAACTAGAGGTTACATTTGGGAGGCTTGGGGGTGAAAAAAGGACAAAGAGGTTGGGGTGGAGACAGAGAGCAAGGCAAAGGGGTGAGGATGGGGTCGTCTGACTAAAACAACCCCAAGACCTTTCACCCATGAATGAGGGTCTCCTGTTGTGCTTTTACCTTGGTGGTGGGGTGGGCCTGGGCATGGAGGGGTTGGCTTTTCTCTCAAGTCTGGGAGGCCTCAAGGCTGGAGCAGTCCCCTCCTTCCCCTGCCCCTTCTCCTAGGTTGGGGATAAAGGCCTTGGTGAGCTGGCCACCTGGGGCAGGAAGGATGCTTGGAGACCGCTGGGGCAGAGGGGCCAGCAGAGTTGAGCTGAGACGGTGATGATGGGGGTGGCTGGAAGGGGGTGGGGAGGTACCGGGAGGGAGGGCCCTCCTAGTGGGGCCTCTGGGAAATGAATGCAGGGCACACGAGGGAGGGGTGGATGGTGGGCAAGTGCCATGTCTCTGACCTCAGCTTTCTCCCCTGTACCATGGGGGCACTGGATTAGATGGTCTCTAAGGTCCCTTCCAGCTCTCAGGGTCAAGGGCTCCCTAGGAAGGAGTGGTCCTTCTGCCCCAGCACACACCCTCACACACATACACACACATATTCACACCCCCACACAAACCCCTTCACCCTCACAGACACACACTCTCACACTCAGCACTGATTCAACAGAGAGGGGCATGCTATCTTGCCTTTGGAAGTGGGGAGGGCTCCCCCGAGCCCAGAACCTCAACCCGTGGCCCTACAGGGACTCTCCAGAGCAGGTTCATCCACCCCATTCCTTGGGACAGACCTTGGAAATATGTCAAGCCCTCTGAGTCCAGGGAAGGGCAAACACAAAACTTTGTACCCTCTCACCCCATCCCTCTTGGTCCATAGGGGGAAGCCCGTAGGACGAGGACACCAGGACACACCGATCTTCCTTCAGAGCCCAGGCTCACGTGAAGACAGAGGGCCAGGGAGGGGAAACAGTCCTTTCTCTCTGGGAGCCTGGGCAGTAGCTAAAGCCAGTGTGGGCAGGGGGAGGCAGCGTCCGCATGGCACCCAGGCCTGATCTGGTGTGGGAGGAGCAGTGGCCTGGGATGAGAGGCCAGAATTTGGGGCAGGGAGACAGCACCGCTCCTAGAGCAGGTGCCCAGTAACATCTGTAACTTCTGTACCAGCGCCCAGAAGCCAGGGCGGGTGGACCAAGCTCGGTGCTGCCGCCTGATAGGAGGCCTTGGCCAGCAGTGTGACAGCCCCAGGGTGGGAGCACCGGGCTTCCAAGGCTGGCTCCACCCCAACCGGCTGTGTGACCTTGGGCCAATCCGCCCCCTGCACCTTTCTCATTTACACAAGGAGGGGTTTGGCCCTCTGAGGCCCATTCCACCAGTGAGAGCCTGAGCCCGGGGCTTCCACCAAGCACAGGGAGAAAGGAGAATGAACGGGAAAGGGAAAGAGGCGGCAGGGTATCCCAGAGAAGGCAAGGTGGGAGGAGCATCCTGGGAGGCGGGGGCTCGGTCTGCAGGCTTAGCTGGGCACCCCGGGTGGCTGCCTGTGGTCCCAGGGGCAGCACAGCCCAGCTGAGACTCCCCCTCTTCTGCCTGTACAGCACCTGGCCCCAGGGGTCTCCCCGAGACATCAAACGGGGGGGGCAACTGGAGTGAACAAACCCCAACATCTTGAGAGCTGACCCCGGACTCCCTGTTTTAAGGCCACAAAATGCCTCAGCCACCCTGACCCAGAGGGCGAGACTGTCACAGGGGAGATGCGCCGGATCCAGCCAGCCTGGTCTCCCCTGGGCTGCGGGTCTTCACGGGCCACCTACCAGCACACAGACGCTGACACCCACGGCACAGGTGACACTGACACAGAGGTGCTGACTCACAGGCAGACACAGACACACGAACACTGGGACACACAAAGACACTTCTTCCTTGCAGACCCCATCCTCCCACAGACAGACCGGCACACCCTGGGCACTCCCATCACACACTGTTAGTGCTAGTACGCATAGACACACACACTCCCTGCAGACCTGCGCGCACGCGCACACACACACACACACACACACACACACACAGGCACCAGCCTCGCCCTTCCACACAGGAGGACCAAGGACCTCGGTGCCCCAAGGAGGTGGTGCCTGGTGCCATTCCTCTCTGCACCTCCATACCCACCCCAGCAAGGGCGCAGAGGAAGCCCCTGGCAGGCCAGTGGTTCGCATTCCTGGGTTCTTCCGAGGAGCTGTTAAACATTTCTGATGCCAGGCTGCCCACCAGTCCAGTGAAATCAGAACCTCTGGGGATAGGACCCAAGCATCCGTGCTTTCTAAAAGACCCTCTGGTTGTTCGATTCTGCAGCCAGGGCTGGGAAGCACTGATTTATAGAATCCGTTCCACTTGGCAAAGCCCACAGTGATTCCCCTATCGGGCCCACCTGTGCTGGGCATGAGGTTGGGATGGGCTGGGGGAGAAGGTTGGAAGGCTCGGAGGAGGAGCTCACAGTCTAGTTGGGGGCAACAGACGGGACAATTAAGGAACAATACTCAGCAGACGGGATGGAAGTGTGTTCTGGGAACCCGGAGCCACTCATTTTGGAGAGAGCCCTCGGCTGAGCCAGCAAGGCAGCCAGGCTGGTGGGGGGATCAGAAGGCCCCGCTCCAGGCCTGGCCCAGCCACCCCAGCTGTTGGTGATGATGACAGCACAGGCCACGGAGCAGTGAGAGGGGCCGCCTTTGCGTCGGTGCCCCGCCTGCCTCTTGGCACTGCCCTGCTCCCCCTGCTCTGTTAGCTGTCCCCTCCGAATGCTCCAGGCCAAGCCCTGTAACACACCCCACCAAAGGTGCTCGCATTTCAATAGGGTCGTCTGTAAGCTCTTTGTCATCCATAGGGGATGAAAGGTAGAAATTCAGGTGGTGGCAGGCAGCTTGAGGCTACAGAATAGGGCTGCAAGTGGTATATTTGGCCAGCACCCCACACACATTCATGTCACTCGTGGAGGGGGTCATGCATGCCAACATCCCGCAGGCACACACCAAACCAGGGGTTAGGCCGGCCTCACAGACGGATATGTGTAATTGCATGTGCAGACTCACATTTGCACATACTCCTGCCCAGAGATGTACCCACAGTGCTACACAGACACAGACAAGTGCATGCGCGCGCACACACACACACACACACACACACACGGCCACATGCACACATGCATGAAGACTCACCCTGGAAGGGGCTGGGCCTCCTCTCTCCCATGGATGGTGGAGTGGGGTCTCGAGGGTGACATTCAGGAGGAGAGGGCTAGATTCCACTGTGCCCACCGAGGCTCCCAACCCAGAGCCTGAGGACAGGGAGCCCTTTTGGTTCCGGGCATGAGCTCAGCTCCAGGGCAACAGGAGGCCAGCAACTGGCCTGCCCCCTGCCCCAGCTCTGCAAACCCCTCCTTCCCCCACTGGGCCGGGAAGGGATCAGCCAACGAGATGGTCCTTTGCAGTGGAAGGGGAGCAGGGGCACCCCCTTAACACATACCCTCTTATCCAGAGCACCCCTTCCTGCCAAGTATAGAAGAAATGAAGGCTCCGCTCTACTCCCAAATGCCATGGGGGCACAAACTCGCAAAAAACAGGCCTTCTCCTCTGCTCCTCTCAAAGTCAAGCCTCAGCCCAGAAAATGGCTGGCCAGCACCCCACCCCCCACCCCCCCAGCCCGCTCCCTCGAAACGCAGGTGGGTGCTGATGTTAAGCCAGCTGACTAGGGTGGAGATTGTGCTCTCAGGAATCCAGCTCCTCGTGGGGTGGGGTAGGGACAGCTGGGGCAGGAGGGAAGGTGTCAGACTTCAGACTGCCCAGGCCCAAGACCCTGTGCTGCGTCCCTCCAAAGGGGCACAGTGTGGGGAGGATATGAAGTCCAAGAACAAACAGGTCAAGGGATCAAGGTGACCTGGGGTCTCCACCTTCCAGCCCTTGCCCTGAAAACAGAGGGCGTGTGGCAGGTGCCTCCCGGGCCTCCTTTGACCCCAGCCTCCCTCATCCCAGGGAGTCCCAGAATCCAGCCAAGGTTGGGGCTCTCGAGCCGGCTCCCCTTCTGGCTCCCTTCTGGTAAAGCCACTGGACTGAGTTAGGAACGACGGAAGGTCACCAGTTAGGAACAGGTGCAGCCAGGACAATGCCCATGTGGCGCCAAGGTCCCTGGGGTGGTAGACACCATTCCGGCGAGTCCCTTGTCTCCGCAGAAAAGAAGGTGCTGGCCGGTCGGATAGAAACTTGTGCTTTAATATATGTGTGTGTGTGCGTGTGAGTGTGTGCGTGTGTGCATGTGTCAAACGACCGGCTCCAGGGTCTCAGCGCCGGGTCTCTGTCCTTGTTTCTCTGCTCATCCTCGCAGCCAACGCAGGCCCCCTCCCTGGCGGGCCGGCCCTGCCCCTGGGCACCCCGGCTGGCGGGGGTCAGTCTTTGGTACGATGTGGACACTTTGGTGTGCCGGGGGCGGGGTGGGGGGGGCACGCAGCTCTCATCATCTCTGCAATGCCAAGAGGAAGATGATCATGGGCCCCCAGAGCTGTGGGTGGGGCTGGCGGGGGGCTCCACTGCCCGGCATCACCACCACTGCGACAGGAGAGAGAAGGGACACAGACCGGGGCCCCGGTCAGCTCGGCAGGGCCGGGGCCTAGCAAGCTGCCCCCTCTCTCGGGGGGACCTAAAGGGGGACGTTGCCCTCACTGCACACAGACACACCCGTAAGCACAGATGTGAGGTTGGGTGGTGTGGGGCTTAACTTAAGCCTGCCAGGGTCCAAATCCTGGCTCTGCATCTCACTAAGACACGGAGCAATTCACCTGACCTCCGTGGGCCTCAGTTTCCTCGTCTGTAAAATGAGTCCAATAGTCAGTGCCACCCCAGGGGGCTGCTGTCCTCACGACATGAGATCGTGCATATGCAGGGTTTTGCACCCTGCCTGGTGCATGGTAATCACTCAGTAAATCCAGCTGTTACAACTGCAAACACCTGGCCCTGGGGGGTGGGGCACACGTTCACATCTGCGCGCCCCCCCCGACAGACATACCCAGACGCAGACAGAGGCGGCATCTGGGTACTGTAATAACTCAGTAAGTTCACGGGAGGGCACTGTTCTCATTGCCCTACAAACGCCCCATAACCTGAGCCAGGGTGGGGCCCAAGGTGGGGCCCAAACACACCAGCACCTGTTCATGTCATCCCTGACACACGCATGCCATCACCCAGTCACTCTGAACCCCCATTCAGCCCTGACACAGATAGGTGCCTACCCACACCGCCCCCCTACATTCGGCTCCTCCCTCCCTCCCTGCCCATCTTGCACCTTTATTGGGATCCATCTGCTTCCGGGGACACTCTCCCTTCTTCAGTGTGACATCATCTATGGCGATATCCCCCAGGTAGCCAGAGCCTCGAACCCCCTCAAAAATAATCTGGGGTGGGGTCAGAGAGCAGAGAGCAGGGATTAGGGGATTCTTCCCGAGAGAACCCCCAACCCCTTCCTTCCCCTCAGTCCACTTGGAAGCCCCCATACCCCCGCCTGGGTTTCTCCCCAGCTCCCCAGAGGGAGTCCGGAGTCGTCCTAAGTGCTCCCTGGCCAGAGTGCCGGCCTGAGGGCTGGGGGAGCCTGTGAGGGGCCCCCGGGCCCGCTAGACTCACCTGGAAGGGCCCGCTGGGGTTGATGGGCACATGCACCTGCTGCCACACATTGCCCTTATTGCCGCTGAGGGACCAGGCGTGCGTGTCGAGGCCCCCTTTGTTCCGGGACCGCACCAGGAGGTTGAGGGAGCCTGTGGTGGGGATGAAGAGAGGGGGGCAGTGAGGGTCTGGACAAGGCCCCCCTCCCCCGCCACTGCCCACAACACCAGCCCAGACTGGTTCACATCCCGTTATCCCTGGGTGGGGGGCACCTTCAACATGAGACAGACAGGACAGCAGCAGGCTTCAATTCATCAGGATGCCTGCAATTTTCCTTCATTCCTTGCCTTCCTTTCTGATCAGCTGATCCCCCAAGACACACACACACACACACACACACACACACACACACACACACACACCATCCTCCTTCCTCTAAACAGTGGAGTTGTCCCAGGCAGTGGGGCCTATGACTGAGCACAGAGCAGGATTCCCAAAGCACACAGTGCACACCCCTGGCGTGGGATGATTTTTCTGGAAGCACAGGAATGGACTTTAAAACTTTTGTTACTTAGACGTATGTTTTGAGAAATAAATGAAAGCGAGTCCTTCAAACTCACAATTTCTCTAATATTGACGCTTCGGACAAAGCTAAGAAAAAGAGAGGGAGTTGCTTTAAAGAGAGATGTTGGTGTTTGTGCCACATAGCCACGGGAAAAGCAGAGGAAGTGAAATGCTGAGGGCATTTGCCTGTGGGTGCTGAGCTCGTGTGCCCACGGCCACAGGGGCCTGGAATTCTGGAGGTGCTGGGGGCCCTGGAAAAGAGGGAAGCGATCCTGGCTTGGCGAAGAGCGCCCAGGCCATGTCATGGCCCCTTCTTGGCTTGTCCAGCCCGCCTCGAGCCCCCAGTGATATGGAGGATCTGGCTCAGAGGGAAAGGGGGAATGAATCTTAGCACCTGGTGGCTGGCGTTTCCATGGCGCTGTCCAGAGACAGAGCCACACCATCTGTGACACCAGATAGCAGACCCCCGGTGGGGGAGAGTCACCAAATGTTACCTGCCTGAGCTGAAAGGAGTTGGCCCGAAAGACACAAGGTCTGGGGACAGCTGGTGCTCAGAGCTGCCAGGTGGGCTAGGAGGGGAGGGAAGAGGAGGTAACAGGACAGCAAGACACACCCCGTTCCCCAGCAGCAGGGCCAGGCCTAGGTGGGGGCCCTCGCCAGCAGATGGACCCATCAGACGGCTATGGCCAGCTCCCAGTGGGCCAGGAGGTGCCACACAGGCTTCAGTAGGCCCAAGCCCCAATACCTTTCAGGCTCCTCACCAGCCCCAAAGGGACCCTCTCTCTTCCCCCGCCTGGGGCTCTTCTACCCCGCCCCCGTTCTTATCCCCCTCAATTCCCACATCTTTTCTCCCTCTTCCACCACCCTGCCCCAAGGCCACTAATGGGGGGACCCCTCCTTTTCACGCCTCAACCAAAAATTGAATTTCTGCCCCCTTTCCTAAGTACCCCATCAGCTCTAGGATCTCCCCTGCTCAGGGGCTTCCTGACAGCCTTTCAAAGGGGTCAGCCAGGGTCCAAGACCTGCAACATCCCTGAAGGGTGGGCCTGCTCACTACTGTCTTCCCTACCTCCCTTGCCACCTGCAAAGCCAGAGTGAAATCTGTGCCAGAGCCTGGACAGACAGACTGCAGCTTCCCAGCCTTTGGGCTTCTGCTCAGGCTTTTCCCACTGCTGGAGACTCCCTCCCCTACCACCTTTTGCCCTGGCCAAATCCTTCCTGTGATTCGAGGCCTCTCTGAAATGCCATCTCCCCCGAGAAATCTTCCTAGGCTTGAGTTGGGAGTCCTCTGTGCTTCCTGTGAAGCCCGAGTCCTTCCACTGCAGCCCTCCAGGCCCCAGATCACTCTCTGCTCCGGGGTGTGACAGTTAGCGGGGATTCACATCTTCTCCTCCCCGTCTGACCCTTTGAGGGAAGGTCTGCAGCAAGTTGCTATGGGTTCTAAACCATTAAATGCTGAATGAACTGTTTATGATGGTCCTCACAACTGAAAGAGGACTTTCAGAGAACCTCATGGTTAGAAGTTTCTTTGGGGTTCGGGAACCTTAGGCCTCCCTATCATTCATTCGTTCAACTAACTGAGCCCCACTATGTACCAAGCACTGTTCTATACATGAGAGGTACGTCAGTGAATAAGGCAAAGACCCCTACCCTCCTAGAGCTTACCTTCTATTGGTGATAAGCATTATAAAGCTAAAAATGCAGGGAAAGGAATAAAGAGGTATTGAGGTGGGACTGTCAGGGACCTCTCTGAGGAGACCTGAATGAGGGAAGGGGGAGAATGTTCCAGGCCAGGGAACATCATGAGCAAAGTCCTCTTCGGCAGGACCCCACCTCAGGTATTTCAAGAAAAGCAAGGAGACCAGTGTGCTCGCGAGCTGAGTGGGAGCCAAGGCGAAAGTGGTAGAAAATGAGGTCAGAGAAGGAGGCAGGGGCTGGATCAGATACTGGAGGCCTAGGCAAGATGGTGATGAAAGGGGCAGAGCAGGGGAGTAATGTGACTTGGGACAGGGGGCCCCTCCACAGCATCCCTGCTAGAAAGCCTTCCTGTCCAGATCTGATGCTTACGGGGTCTTCCTCCGGTCAAATTCAAATCTGCCTCTGGCTTCTATGTGTACACAGTGTTTCCGGAAACCTGCCCCCAAATCTAGCGCAGTGATTGCCTTTGGGGAAGGGCTCTAGGTAGCAGGAGGGCTGGGATGGGAGGGGGACTCTCATTATGCGCCCTTTGTACCTTCTGACCCATGCAAAATACATGGCCTGTCTTAGTAAAGAAGTAAACAAACAAATAAATAAAAAATTTAAAAACTTGTCACTTCCTCAGCAGAGTCTTCCATAATCAAGCCCCCAGCGCTGGTCCCTGTTCCCAGCTGTCTTGGCCACGTGGACACGTGTCACAATGGCACCTCAGTCTTATCTGGTGCCATTAGCTGTTTAACGTCTGTCTCTCCCACTTGACCGTAGGTGCCAGGAGCGCGGGGAACTGCTCTGCCCTGTTCATCGCAGTACCTGATGCCTGGCACAGAGCAGGAGCTCGGGAAATAAGTTCATCAATTCACGTGACTTCCCAGAGGGCAAATGCACGCCCACCCTTAGGAAGCCGGACTGCCCCTCAGTGCTCACAAAGCGGCACCCTCCCAATCCTGTGTTCAGCGCTTGGGGGAGTCAGACAACTTGGGTTGCTGTGTGATCCTGGGGAAAAGGCTGAACCTCTCTGATTTATATGGTAGTACCTCCCTCACCTGGTGCTTGTGAGATAATGGGACTACAGAGGCAGAGCACCCAGGAAGTCACCGGGCACTTGACAGGTGCTCAATACAGACACCCTCTTAGCCTTTTTCGCTCTCTCCTCCAAGGCTTCCGTCTTGTCCTGCTGGAGCCATCTTCTTTGCAGACTCAGGACAACCTCAGACAAGCTGGCTCTGGCTTCCTCCCTTGCCCAGATTCTGCCTACACCCCCTCCAAGGATTTGTGATTCAGCCAAGTTGGGAAGCCCAGGCCTCGCATGGGCCATGCCCAGCCTCCTGTGGACTCCCTCTCTCCTCCCCGCCCCAGCAACCCTTGGGCAGACTACCGGGTCCCCCGACTCACCGATGTGCTTCCCGTACATGTGGTAGAAAAAGGAGACGCAGTAGAACTTAGCGCTGGCATTGTACAAGGGACTCACCAAACGGGCTCGGTCCCCCAGCTCCCGGGGCCTTGACGTCTCGATGAACATGTAGTAGCCTGTTGGGGAGAGGGAGATGCACCAACAGCCTCCTCCTCACCCCACACAGGCCACTTTCCACCTGCTTCCTTCACTGCCTTAACTTCATCTGACCCCAGGGGCCTCACCCATCCCACCTCCACCTCCCTGCCTCACCGGCCGGCACAGGAGTCTAGGCCAGGAGTTCCGAGCTCTACTGCAGTTTCTCTTCTTCTGAGTCCCCATGAAGACAGAGTTGTGCCTCCCCCTCAAATTAGGGCTCCCTGAGGGCAGGGCTGTGTCTCCCCCCTTGGACTGGGGCTCCCTAGTGCTAGACCCCTCCCTGAAGCTGTTCTTGTCGCAGTCCATGTCCTCACCCTCAGGGGTGCCACTGATGTCAGTGGGGGGACCAGTGTTGGGGGAGCGCTTGGGATTCTGGTTGAGGGCATTCTGCCGTGTCCAGTCAAAGTTGTCTGTCAGGTCCTGGGTGTAGCCACAGATCTTCTCATCTTCAAAGTGGCAGGTGTTGTCTGCATTGGGCCAAGGGGGCAGGGGAAGGGGACAAAGAGGGTCAGGAGGCGGCCTGGTCTAGTTTCACCCTCCCTGGCCACCCCGAGGCAGGTGCCACACATCCAAGCCGTAGGCCTAGGATCTCAGGGCTTGAGAAACCAGGCAACAGGGTCCCTGAGAAATCCGTTCCCAGAACGGGACTTCCTAACCTTTGTACACCGCAGACCCTCTGACATCTAGTGAAGTCTAAGGGCTCCATCTCAGAATAATAATTTTAGATGCACAAAATGAAATACACAGGGTCACAAAGGAAAATCACTTATATGGAGATACAGCTGTCAAAATATTTAAAAAACACATTTGTGAGATAACAATAGGTGGGCTTCTTTATTATCTAATTAAATAACAAGATCTAGTGTTAGCTCTAATAACTGCTGTGGTTTTGAAGCCCTGATGAATGTAAATGATACTCAGGAGAGGCTGCAACAACTTTAAGATCATGTGCAAACCGGGGCTTTGTCCTGATGACAGGGTCACAGGTAGTGATTATACTAGTGTGGTCCGTTGCCTACATTCGTCCCTGAAGATGTTAAACTTCTGCTAGAAGTTAGGGGAAGATAAAGAAGTAACTGTATGCGCTTCCACGTTCCAGGTTCACAGACCCCCTGAATTCTACACACAGATCCTTTGGGGGGAGGGAGGGCTTCCTGGATCTCAGGTTAAGGACCCCTGCAGCAGAGAACAGGGGATGTGGATAAGTCTGGTCTCTCCACTTTTCTTTTACGGACAGTGATTCTAGGGGACAGGATCAGGGTGCTGACTGAGGGGGGGAGGCCCTGAGTTACAGACGTCCCCTACCTCTGCCCCGCTCCACCTTTAAGCCCCAGAATCAATCCTGGATGCACGTGTCTCCAAGCCCAGCCTTGTCCCCTTTGGCTTCTCCTTCCAGCGGCTGGCCTCCACCCCATTTTCTCTCTGGGTATCTCTCAGGGTCCTCTCCTCCCACCAAGGGAGTCTTTGTGTTCCCAAAGGGAAGGGGAAGTGGGAGGGAGGTGTCTCACCTGACAGGTTGGGAGAGTTGATGGCTGAGAAAGCAAGCGGGAAAACCAAGTCAGAACTGAGGTGTGGGACCATACAGAGGGTGCCCAGGCTTTGGACCAGGGGACAGGGTTCCCGAAACCAGGACTGGGGGCCAGAGGGGCCTAGCCTGCGGTGACAAAGTAGCACACTGCACAGTGGGGAGCCCCAAGCTCTGGAACCATGTGGGGAGGTTGAAGGGGGGGTCCCCTGGGGAGGAGATGAGCCCACCCTTCCCACCACCCCTACCCCACCACCACCACCTACGCTCTGTGTAGTGGATGATGCGGGAGGCCATGTCACCAGCCCCGAAGGTGGTGTAGGGTGTGAGGCGGACCTCGTAGCTGTGGGGCACACGGAGGTCAGTCAGGATGTACTCCAGCAGCTGCCCCTTCTCCACGCGCCGCACTGGGATGGCCTTCACCATGGCGTTGTGCTGATTCAACTGCAGATACAGGGTGTTCCCAGATGCCCAGCAGGCCACACCCTCCACCAGAGCACCGGCCCAGGCCCTGGTGTGACTTGGAGGGTGGGGTGGGGGGCAGTGTCAGGGAGCAGAAAGAATAAAGGACTAGGAAGCCAGACCCTCAGTTTCCCCCTCTGTGAGAGAGAGCAATCACTCCTACCACGCCTCCCTCCTAGGGCTGTCCTTAATAATACATGATGCTGGGCACTGTTCAAAGTGATTTGCCATTATTAACTCACTTAATCCTCAAAATAACAATCCTCTGAGGTGGAACATTATAATGACTCCCATTTTACAGATAAAGAAACTGAGGCCAAAGAGATGTCATTTGCCCTAGCTCACACAGAGCTAGATTCTAGCCTAGGCGGTCTGCCCCAGAGCCACACTTTTACCCTCCACAGCCCCTGCCCCTTGGGGAGAACCACATGGAATTAGACTGGACACAAGAACAGCATAGCTCCAGCTTTGCATTCTAGAGACCCTGTGGATGAGACTGCCCCCCTACCCCACTCTAAGCTCCTGACTCACAAGTAGATTCTGTGTTTTGTGAGCAGAGCTAGCTCTGTCCCCTTTCCCCTGTCCAAGATCCCCAGCAGATCCAGCCCAGTTCTCAGAGCTGGGCCCAAAGCATGGGGTCAGAGGGGGCAGGTCCCTAGAACCTCCCAGCTTCTGCTGCTGTGTCCGGAATACTTTCTCTCTGGCTCTAAAGAGTGGTCTGTAAGGGGGTCAAATATGTCCAAGCCCTGCCTCCAACCCCTTCCCATGGCTTGAGGGACACTCCCAGGGTCAGCCTGCCCCCGGGCCCCTGTCCCTCCCGGCCCACCTGGCGGACACTGAGTCTGTAGTTGAGCAGGGGGTCGACAGCATCGGGCTCCCTCTGGGTCCACTGCAGCACATAGGAGTAGTTCTTGGACAGCTTGTGGCTGCGGGTGGGGTTGGGGGTGTCGAAGTAAAACTCCGGGCTGTAGGCTTTGGCTGAGAGGGCGGGGAGGGGGGCGTGGGGCCGTGAAGGGTGGGGGGTGGGGAGAGACAGAGAGAGAGGAGGCACGGGAGAGGGAGAAGGAAGAAGATGGCAAGGAACAGAGACAGGGTACGGGGAGACAAAGAGAAAGGGAATACAGTGAAGAGAGGAGACAGTGGGAGAGGAGGAGATTGGGGGAGCGAGGGTGGGGTATGAGGGAAAGTGGGAAGTGGAGAAAAGGGAGATTGGGAATTCCAAGACGTGGTATTGGTGAGAACAGAGAGGAAAGGTCAAGGAAAACCCAGAGAAAAGAGAAATTTGGGGAGACACACAGGAGGGATATTAGAGAAGTCACAGGGAAAGAGAGTGGGGGGAAAGACACGAAGAAGGGTCAAGGATTTTGAGGTGGAAGGAAGAGAAAGGAGAGGGAGAGAGAGAGGCAAAAAGGTGGGGAGACAGGGGAAGTGTGGGAGAACAGGGGAGGGGGAAGGAGGTGGGAAATGTCATAGGGGCCTCTGGCTGGCAGGGCGGGGTGGGGTGGGGAAGGGCTGGGGAGTGACCTGTGGTCCTGGCCCCCTGCTTTTGAGTGAAGAGATCCAAACAGGAGCTAAAGGGGCACCCGGTCAGTTGGGGGCTGCTGAGAGAGCTGGAGGTGCAGTAGAAGGGGACAGGCACACCTGGGGCTCTCCTCCAGGGGCGCTGCCACCAGCTCTGACAGGGAACCAGCTCTCCCTCAAAGAAGAGAAAGGGCATCAGAAACCCCTTCGGCCCCTATGCGTTCTCCTCAGCCTTCACCACGACCTCCACCCCTTTCTGAATCACCCATGCCCGCCTGCAGCCCCAAACAGCCCACCCAGGAAGGACTTGATGGCGAGATAGGCTGAGAGGGATTTCTGGGCACCAAGGGGCCTGAATCTCTGGGGTGACGGCTCAGGAAATGTGCGCTGGCTGGCCCAGAGCCACCCACGACGTTCCAGAGAAGCTGTTGAGGGTCGTCTTCTCTCCTCTTAGCTACAGCTCAGGCCCCTCACATTGGGCCTGCAGTTACGAAAAGAAGGGGTCCTCCGTCCGCAGCCTCCGCGGCCCAGGACGAAGGAGGAGGGGCTTGAAATGTGATGGCTGGGATGGGGCGGTGCCCAGGGCCTGAGTAGGCGGGTTTAAACCTGGTGTGGGCGGAGCTGGAGCGCACCTGCTACCCGGAAAGGAGGAAACGGAGAGCTGGGATTGGACGAGGCTGGAAGGGGTGGGGCCTATGCCTCGTAATTGGAGCCCAGGCGCGGTGTGGATGGGTCTTTAAAGGGAAAGGCCCATACTTGGTGCTCGCGGGGCTAGAGGGGCGAAGCCTAAGCCCGGGGAAGTAGGGGTTTGAAAGCGGCAGGGCTGTCCGAGGCCAAGGGGAGGGAGGCTTAGCTAAAACGGGCGGGGCTTAGGGCACGTATAAGTGGGACTTGAGAAGTTCCTACACCTGGAGAGGGCGTGAGTGAAGCGGTATAGCCGGGTCTAGAGGGGCCCTAAAAGATGTCACAGTTTGCTCCGAGCGGCGTGGGCGGGGCTTAGACCTGGCATGGGCGAGTCTTGGAAAGGCAGGGACCTAAACTTAGTGAAGGGACGCAGGAAAGGGGCGGGGCCCAGGCCGACTGTGGGCGGGGTTGGGGCGGAGCCTGGCCCCAGGTGAGCGCTGTTGGGTGGGGCGGGACCCACGGGACGCTCACCCGAGACCTGAAAAAGGCAGGCAGCCGAGCCAACGTCGTTCGAGATGCTGCACTCGTAGCTGCCGCTGCTGTCGCGGGTGACGGCGTCGAGGCGCAGTTCGGAGTGGTCGGGGGCCTCGGCGGCGACGGGGACAGCGGGCGGCGGAGGCAGCAGCTGCCCTTTGAAGCGCCACACGGCCGAGGCGATACGCTGGGGGCTGCCCCGCAGCAGCGAGCAGCGCAGCAGCACGGGCCGGCCCAGCGCTTGGCGCACATCCTGCGAGCTGGGCTCCACCTCCGGCGGGACTGGGGACGGGGGCGGCGGTCAGCGGGGCCGGGTGGGGTTGGAGGAGCGGCCCCATCGGAGGCGACGCACTCGACTCTGCTCCCGCACCCCCCAGCCTGGAGGGTTCTCAGAGCGGATACACACTCGTAACATACACAACAGCCGCGCTCTGAGCAAATACCCACCCCATCCCGGCCAATTCTTCCAGCCATGCTTCCCAGACTGGGCCTCTAGTCTTTGCCTCAGATGGTCCCCTCACACTCCTCTCCCCGCCCCCTCCCCCACGTAGTGAAAAGCAGCATAACATCGGAGCTCAGAGCAAGATCCCCAGAGCTAGACGCCTTAGGTTCAAATCTCAACCCTGCCTCACACTAGCTGGTAAGACCTTAGGCAAGTGACTTATCCTGTGACTCGGCTTCTCGGTTTGTAAAAATAAGGAAATAATAGCGTCTATTTATAGGGCTGTGAAGGGTTAAATGAGTTCATGCATTAAAATGCTCTTAGAACAGTGCTTGGCACGACGTGAGTTAACTCTCATCGTTATACTATCAGACACAACGTACTCCCGTGAAGGTCTTTCAAACTCCCATGTCTACCTGTTATGTTCTATCAGTTATTTCTTTGCTCACTGGGTCCCTGGGAATGAAGATGGGGGCGAGGGGGGCGGCACTCGATAATGGCAATGTGCCAAGGGTCACAGACCTCCCGCCTTAGAACACGGGGTTGGTAAGGTTTCGGGGATATGGGCAGTACGTGGAGGGGGTTGGTTGACCTGGAGTGAATGAGGGGTGGAGAAGGGGCAGGTCAGGCTGAGAACCGGGAGGGACAGCCCAGAAGGGAGTCCAGGTGGGGCGATGAGACTCACACTGCACATTCAGCTGCACCTGGGCCTCGCGGGGGCGCACGTTGAAGCCATTATACCGAGCCGTCTGGCAGCGGTAGGTCCCACTCATGTCGCGGCTCACGTGCTCCAGTCGCAGCTTCCCGTCCGGGGTCTCCTCCAGGGGCAGCCCCGAGGGCAGCAGCGCAGCCTCCTTGTCCACGCGGGACCAGAGCACCGGCGGCCGCGGCTTGCCTCGAACCTCACACTGCAGCTCGGCGGGCGAGCCCTCCCGCACTGTGACCACGGCCCTGCCCTTGGGCACGCTGATGGTGGGAGGCACTGCGGTGGGGAGGTGGGCAGGAGCAGGGTTAGAGCTCCCGCTGGCCCCTGCTTTCGGGCTTCGGCTTCTCTCTCCCTAGGTTTGAGCCTCCCTTCCCCATCCCAGATGTCCCAAAGACCCCTCAGTATCTCCAAAACACAGCTCACCTCCCCCAGTTCTCTCTACCTCCTGGGGTCTCTACCTCAGGGTCTCCCAACTCAGAAAGAGACCTGAAGTCCTCCTGGCCTATTCCTTCTTTTCGTTTAGCCCAAGGAAAGGGGGTTCCACCTTGTAAACAGTTCTACTCAGTGACTTCCTCCCTCAACCCCCTCTCTCCTGCCCACTGACCCCGATCTAGTTAAAGCTTCCATCTTGCCTTCTGGAGTGTTATCACAACATCCTGCCTTCTGGAGTGTTATCACAACATCCTGCCTTCTGGAGTGTTAGCACAACATCTTGCCTTCTGGAGTGTTATCCCAGATCCCTAGGCTGTCCCTCAACATGCTTACCCTTTCTTCCAAAGTAATAGGATATCTGGAGTTTAGCAGGGCACACAGCCAGAATAACCATTATGTCTCCCAGCCTGTCTTAGTGCTAGCTAGCTGTGACCATGTGACTAAATTCTGGCCAGTGGGATGTGACAGGAAATAAGGGTCTGTAAAAGGCGAAGCTGTGCCCCTCTTCTCCTCCTTCCTGCGGGCTGGAATGCAGACTGATGGCTGCAGCTGGAACTGCCATTGTGGACAAGGTGGCCCACACTAGTGATAACAGAATAGCAAGACAAGATGGAGCCTGGGGCCCTGAGGACTAGGTGGAGCTGAGCCATTATTCCAGCCTGGACTGCTCACTTTTATGAGGAAAAAAAAATACACATCTAGCTCATTTAAGCCACTAGTAGTATTCGGGATTTTCTGTTACACACAGCCAAACCTAATCCAACCCAACACATCGCCCAACTGGAGGGTCTTTTAAAGACTCCCATGGGTCCCATCCCACATCCCATCAAACAAATTAAAATGTCCTACATTAAATATAAATTGTAAATAACTCCACAAGGCAAGCTGAGGTCCAGTTATCTAGTTAGGATCATTCATACTCTTGTAAACATTTATACAAATGCATCGGCTTTAATTTTACAGTTTTCTCTTTGTATTTTGCAGCCAATTAATTTGCTTTTCCAGGTCTAAATTATTTCCACAGGCCCTTAAAAAGCTTCCATGCCCTAGGCATCAGGCTAATGAGCCAAATGGAGGAAATGGCCCAGTGCCCTATTGATTTCCCTGTTTCCAAAACGTCCCAGCTCCCAACCTTGCTCTGCCCCCACAGGTTAAAGGGCTGTCTCCTTCCTTTGAGGCTGCACTGCCCTCAGGTTAAGGCTCCAGTTCCTTGGCCCTACAAACAAGACCCTCGTGCTCCAGCCTCTGCCACTCCCCAGGCTCATCTTCCCTCTCCCATCCTGTGTCCCGGCTATGGGATCCACTTATAAGGCTTGTAAGGGACACACTCCCTGGCTACGAAGTCTTTTCTCTGTGCAGAAGTCAGGATGGAAGGGGCCTCTGAGGCCATCTGGTTCAATATCTCACAGAGGAGAAACTGAGGCCCAGAGAGTCAAAGAGGCTTAGCCAAAGTCAGCCAGCTCCTCCGTGCAAGGGGCTAAGGACTGGAGATGAGATTCTAGAGACTCTCTCCAAAATCATCCCCTCTAAAGTCCTGTCATTCTTAAAATGTAAACCCTTCAGGGGTGGCTCTACAGTCAGACTGCCTGGGTTCAAATCCCAGCTACCCCACTTACTGTTTGTTAACTTAGGTGAGTTTCTTAAACTCTCTGAGCCTGTTTCTTCACCTCTAAACACTGATGATAAACTACCACATAAGGTAAACCATGAAGGTGAATGAGCTAAATATGAAATCATCAGAACACAGAGTAAACACTCAATAAATGTTAGTCATTATCTTATTGTTGTTATTTATTATTATTGGAATAAAGACCCAAATCCCTACATAATCTGGCCCCCGCTCACCCCCTGCTCTCTCCCATCTCACGCCATTCTCTCAGCTCCACTTTCCTCCCTTCAAAAGTGCTCCAAATGGCCCATGCACTTACCTGCCGTAGGGCCTTTGCACATGCTGCTTCTTTGGCCTCCCTTTTCTTCTACCCTCCCTTGCTCTCTTTTGCCTAGCAAAATCCTGCCCCTCCCTCAGATCTCAGATCAAACATTCTATCTTAGGAAACTCTTTCCCGACTCTCATGTATCAGAGTTTGCAGTGATATATTTATTTGTGAGACTATCCGAAAAACGTTTGCCTTCCTGCTTCGTTCAATGCCAGCCGAGCTCATTTTGCCCACCACTCTACCCCAGAGCCTAGCACAAATGCCTGGCATACAACAGATGCTTAATAAATGGGTATGGACACAGAGGAAACACAAATCATGTTCCCCTCACTCTGGTCTCCTTTCCCCCAAGCTACTGTGCCCACCTCCCCTCTGTGGGCCTCTCCAGTTTCCTCACACACACACACAAACACCCATGCCGCTTCAGCTGCCCACCTGTCTCAGAGGAGATGTTGACCTCGACGCTGAGGTCAGGCACAGGTGCTCCTGGGAAGGAAGCCACACACAAGTAGGTGCCATAGTCGCTGAAGTGCAGGTCAATGAGCTCTAGGCTGCTCGTGACGGCAGGCAACTCGGGGTCATTTCGGGTCACCAGCAGCCTCTTGGACATGCGTGCCGGCTTGCCATTCTTGAACCACTGGTAGGTCACCTTCTCCTGGGGTACTGCATCCACATGGCACGACAGCTTCAGGTCCTGGCCCAGCTGTATGTTCTCACTCTCTTTGATCACATCTGGGGTGATCTGGAACGTAGCATTCTTCATGGCTATGGGTGGATGGGGAGGGAGAGGTGGCTGGGGCTGGCCCAAAGCCAAGGGTCTATGTCCCTCCCACCCCTGTCCAGACCCAGTTTCTCTCCTTGAACTGGCCTTCCCACACCACCACCCCCCCCCAAGAGAAACCATCACTTTGCTTGGAAATCATTCTGCTTGCTCAGATGCATTTTTAAAAATCCAAAAAAGCTGGCTGTAGAAAAGTGGGTTTAGGAATTGTTATAGCCGCTGTTGACCGAACGTCCGTTACGTGAGAGGCACCGCCCCAAGCGCTTGACACGGTTTACTCACCTCACCCATCCCACAACCTTGGAGTGGGGCACTCTGCTGTCCCCATTTTACAAAGGAGAGAACTGAGGCTCAGACAGCTTAAGTAACTTGCCCAAAGAAATAGCCAACCTTGAATTCAGACTCAGCCTGCACTCTTAAAGGCTGCACTGCTTTATTTTTATTCTTGTTTTAAACCTTGAATATGCAAAGTACAATTTTTGGAAAGAGGCACCAGAATGTACTAGTGCTTCTGTCTAGAGAGTGGGGCTGAGGGGAAATTTTATCCTTTTGTACTGTTTGCTTCTTTGCAACAAGTTTGTGCAATTTTTATAATAAAAGCCAAATACAATTATTTTATGTGAAATTACACAAAACACAGAGTTTAGGAAAAAGGTCTAGCCTCTTTGAAAAATCTGAATATTGTCTGACGTAGCCAAGAGTTAGAGAGAATTTTTCTTCTTCTTTTTTTAAGTAGGCTCCACATCTACCATGGAGCCCAAAGCAGGGCTTGAACGCATGACCCTGAGATCAAGACCTGAGCTGAAATCAAGAGTTGGACACTTAACTGACTGAGCCACCCAGGTGCCCCAAGACGGCATTCTCAATAGTGGCTGCTAATTTGACAGGTCCCTGGTACAACGGCCATGAACTAGGACTGGGCTGGGCAGAGCAGGCTGGATGTCACCCTAAGAGGTGACCGTAAGTATTTGATGTAAACTGAAATCTCAGGAACCTAGGTTTTAAAGGCCAAATGGAATTAGGTGGAAAAGAGTAATCTGACAAGAAAAGTACCATCAAAGGAAAAAGTAGTCATCAGCAACAATCTTGCTACTGTCTTTCTTGCTCTGATTAAGTAAAAAGTCACCAAGAGCTAGCTTCTTTTTGGGATAAGAGTCAGAGAGAGACTGGTTGGTGAGGGAAGAACAAAAAGGAGGGACCATTTCATCAGAAGACTCTCCACTGGATTTGACAGAAGCTGTACTTTATTTTCAAGGGCTAAAGAGCTGCAAACAAGCCTGGATCTTTAAAATTTTCAAGTAAATAAACAACAACCAAACAACAACCTAAAGTTACTCCTCAGTCAGAAGAATTTAAAGTTTTCTCTTTAGGGGCGCCCAGCTGGCTCAGTCAGTAGAGCATGTGACTCTTGATCTCAGGGTCGTGAGTTCGAGCCCCATGTTGGGTATAGAGATTACTTAAATAAATAAAACTTAAAAAAAAAAAAAGCTTTCTCCTTCAAGCACAGTAGCAAAATCAAGATCATACTGAGAAGCTAATGAGGCTGAGGTTTAGTAAGTAGGGTGTTTATACTTCTTTAATTGTGCCCCAAGTTTTGTATCATTTTTACATTTAGTAATTACCTTCAGACTCACCGACACGCTTTGCTAATAAAGATTTGCATATGAGGTATGTACAAATCCATGTTATTTTCATTTTAATTCTGTGACAAATGTAGAAACCATTGTATGGGAAGAGTCAGGAAATTTCTCTTAAAGAGTGGAACGTCCACATTTAGCTTTTGGCAGCCTCAGTTTCCCAATCTAAGAAAGATGTCGGTAATTGGGGTGCCTGAGTGGCTCAGTCAGTTAAGCGTCTGCCTTTGGCTCAGGTCGTGATCCCAGGGTCTTGGGATCGAGTCCCGCATTGGGCTCCCTGCTCAGTGAGGAGTCTGCTTCTCCCTCTCCCTCTGCCTCTCTCTCTCATGAATAAATAAAATCTTAAAAAAATATATTGGGAAATCAATGCCAGCCCTTCCCACTTCTTCCATTGTCAAGATGACATTTGGAAATGTAGATTATAAATAAAACTTTATACAAATTGTAGTCCAGCCGCCGGCAGACAGACAAAAGGAAGCGGACAGGCTCCTTTCCCAGTTCCCCGGCGGTTCCTGGAGGGCAGGGCCCCCGCCCGCCTCCTGAGTCCCCTCCCGCCCCTCCGGACCCACGTACATCGCACCAGCAGGTTGACCGTCTTCTTGGCAGGGTTGCCCACATTGTTGGTGGCCGTGCAGTTGTAGTAGCCAGAGTCCCGGGCCTGCACTGAGGGGATGCTGAGGGTGCCACTCTGGGCCACAGCACCCAGGGGCAGCGGGCCCTGCCCGTGGGACCATTGCAGCTGGGGTAAGGGATCGCCGCCTGCCAGCAGACACTGTACTGTCACATTCTCCCCCGGGTTGACCACCAGAGTTTCATTCACAGACAGCTTCAGGGCTGGTGGTGCTATAAGGACAAGGTGGTGGGGTCTTAGGGGACCGTGAGGCAGCGCTGGGGGAGCTGAAGCGGGGAGGAGAAGCCATGGGCTTGGGGAAGGCCTGGAGGGAGAGGGCAGGGAGCAGGCGGAGGGGCAGGGTGGGGACATGCTCACGGTGAGGGGCCTAGAGTCCTGTGTGGGGCGGGGCGCCGTCTCCTAGCTGGGGAGTCAGCCCCAGGCGGGCAGTGGGGGGTGGGGGACGGGCAGGGAAGGCCTGTACCCGTGGTGTTGGTGAGCCGGAAGGTGATGGCCTTGTCCGGGATGCCGCACACGTTGCGTACGGACACCTGGCAGGTGTAGCTGGCATAGTCCTGGGGCCGCAGGTTCTTCAGCTTCAGGACCTTGGTCTCCCCCTAGGCAGCAGCAGAGCACTGGGGTGAGGGGCCTGCTTGGGTCTCTAGGGATCCCACACACATTCACCCAGCACCCGAGGCGGAAGCAAATTCCTACTTTAATTCCTATCTTTTCAACCTCCACACCATTTAGGCTCAGGGAGCCGGAAACTGGGGTGGATACTGCAGTCTCCAAACCTTGGGCTTCTCTGCATCTGGTGCTGTCCTGGGACACACCGGCCGGGACCAGGCCTCAGTTTTCCCACTCTGGGAAATGGAGGGTAAGGAAGGACTCCTGCTCTGTCTTACAACCCATACAAACGTGGGGCTGGCCCGCAGGCCATGGCCTCATGTGGAGCTTTGCCACCTAGGATAGCCAACCTCTGAAAGACGCTCCTGGTAGGACAGCTGCATCACCACCTCCCGGGACTGTAGGGGTCCCATGGGAAGTGCAGTCATCTCTCTGCCCCCAACTGCTACTGCGCCTGCCCAAGAGTTCCCAATACTCTGCCAGTCAGCCGCACGCAGGGATCACATGCCTGCCCCTGGAGGGTGCCTTTCCTAACTAGCAATGTCCCCGGAGGACTGGTGCCTGGGGGACTCTCCCGTCCTCCCTGACCTTTCTGTCCTGATTTCATTTGGCAAGGGCTGTCTGAAGCCCAATCAGAATGCATGCTTCTGACGTCAGGACAGAATTACAGGAGTCAGGGCATAGTCCCCGGAACACAGGATCACAGGGCCTAGGTCTCTGCGTCCCCCTCCCTTGCTGGGTGCAGAAGGAAGAGTGTGGGGCGAGCCATGAGGAGACCAGGCTGGCTGCTGTCCATCCTGACCTGGGTGTAGAGGGGCTCATAGATGTCGACCCCATTGTCCTGGCTGTGAGACAGGGTGTCGGAGCCCCGCTTCCAGATGAAGCGGGCAGGTGGGTTGGAGTTGACAGTACAGCGCAGGAACACCGTCTTCTCCTGGTAGAAATTGCCTCGAACATCGCTCACCGTCTGGTGCACCGTCAGCACGGGCTCGTCCAGGTCTGCAAGGACACAGCCCCAGTGGAGTCAGGGCCGGCTCACCCCAAGGTGGGGGGCTGGGTTTTCTGGCAGCCACCAGGGAAAGCTAAGCCACCCTCAAGGGATGCTTCCAGAGAGCCAGATGCTCTCCCAGCCCACAAGCTTGACCACCCATTGGAGGCAGGGGAATGGACTTAACGGCTTCCCAGCTGTCCCTCCCCCCGGCCCTGCATGCGGGTGTCTATCTTCACCCTCCCATCATGGGATGGAAGAAGCAGCTGCAGACTGGAAATCAGGACACGGGTTCAAATCCCAGGTTAGCTGTTAATTTGCAGTGTGACCTGCCTAAGTCTCTTCTCTCTCTGGGCTTGTTTCCTCGCTGGTAAATTGGACTAGATTGGTGGTTCTCACCTCTGTTTGCACGACAGAATCACATGGAGACTTTCTAATACCACTGCCTGGCAGAGCTCATTGATGGTGTCAGAAGTCAGAAGAATGATTGCCTCTAAGGAGATTATTGACTGGGAGGGAGCAGGAGGAAACTTTCTGGTCCTGGAAATGCTCTTGAACTGGATGGTGTTTACACATGCATAGACATAAGAATTCACTGAACTGTACATTTAAGATTAGTGTATTCTATCGGGTGTAGCTTAATCCTCAATTAAAAAAAAAGAGTTTAAGAAAAATCCTGATGCCAGGGCCCCATGCCCAATTATCAGAATCGCTGGAAGTGGAACCCAGGCATCGGTAGTTTCTTCTAAAGACCCCCCCTAGACATTCTAATGGGCAGCCAGCGTTGTGAACCAAAGGCACCCACATTCTACAGCCTAACATCCTTCGACAGGTGTCTCATCATTCTGTCCTCGTACAGCCCACTTGGACAGAACTCATAACAAAGACCAGAGGTGGAGGTAGAGCATTGGTGATACCCAGGCCCCTTCCAGCACCAATAAATCAAGAAATGACCCCCAGTCCCAGGATTTGGCAGGTCTGTCGTTGACTGAAAGGGGACAGAAGGGTCTAAGGTTCCATTGCTCACCACTTGGGGGTCTCACTTGCCGGGGGGCATGGGCATATTTAATGGGTAGGTTCATTGTAGACATTAAGATGGTGTCAGACAGGCCCCTTGGCTTGGCCCTATGGCTTCTGGGTAACTAGGATCAGCCTGTGCAAGCAGTGAAATAGACTCTTGGGACTAAGGGGGGTATCTCTATGGCAGGCAGGTAGGGGGACTAGGGGCTTCCCATTCAACCAGCAGCCAGGATTGAGGGGTGCTTGGTCCTGTAAGTGGTGGGAGTAGGGAAGTTTCAGAACAGCCCCTGGGGCAAAAGCAGAGACATGAGGTACTATGGGAAGGGCACCACAGCAGAGTCCAGGGAACCTTTGCGGGTGAACAAGTCACAAACCCCCGGTACCACAATTTCATCTGTGAAAAAAGTACAATTCAACCTGTCCCACCCTCCCTGATCACTTGAGAGGGCTGTTGCCAGATACGTATGGATCGTGGAGGGAAACGTGTGAAGGGTAGAGGGTAGACACACTGGAGGAACAGCAGGTAAACCCCTTTAGTCCGGGAAAGATGAAGTCTCTACTGTGCTCTTCCACGGAGGTGTCGCTTCTCCAGCCTCCTTTCCACCCCCTCCTCCCGCCCAGCCTGAGTGCCCCGGGGGCACCCCCGGCTGAGACTCACACTGCACGTCCACGCGGATAGACTTGATGGCGGGCACGCCCACGCCGTTCTCCGCCTTGCAGTAGTAGCGGCCGCCTTGCGTGCGCGCGATGCGCTCGATGCGCAGCGTCTCGTTGAACACCGATGTCTCCTGGAACTTGTCCGAGGCGCTGCCCGCAGTCTTGGTCCAGCGCACCTGGGCCCGCGGGGTGGGCCGAGTGAGCCGCGGCCGTGGGGGGTGGGGGGAGGGTTCCGGGCTGAAGGCCAGGCGACCGTGCCTTCCCTCCCCCCGGCCCCCACTGCTTTTCCGGAGTGCCCGTGGGGACCACCCCGGCCTGGGAAACTAATTCCCCCAGGGGAATACACAGATGGGGTAGGGTGCCTCGGGAAAGAATCTGGGGAATCTGGGGTCAGAGGGAGGAGGCTTTAAAGAAGGCAGTACAGTGCAGTGGTTAAGAGGCAAGTCGGACTGGGGCAAGTTATCCCACCTTTCCTGCCTTCCTTTTCTCATTGGGAAAATGGAGAATATGCCGCCTAGGCCTCCTGGGAGGACTAAATGTGCCTTAGTGCCTGTAAGACTAAGAATTTGATAAAGTTTTTAGTGTCCTTGGGTAGGTTACTCCTCTCTCAGCTTCAGATTTTTCATCTGCAGAAGAGGTCTATGGGGTAGCCAGCCTCCAAGATGGTCCCCAGTGATCCCGACCTCTAGTCCTTTTCCTGGGGTGTCCTCCCACTTTGTACCAGGGATGGGCTGTGTGACCAATATAACACAGTGGGCATGATGGTATGTCACTTCCAAGATCAGGTTATGAAGGACTGTGATTTCCATCTTGGGGAAAGCCATCTGGCTTGTCATGAGCAGCCCTCCGGAGGGAGGGATCCACAGGGGAAGAAGGGAAACCTCGGGTCAACAGCCACAGGAGGTAGCCTGCAAGCGGCTCCTCCCACCCCAGTCAGTTCTCAAATGGCTGCAGCCTCCTGAGAGACCATGGGCCAGAACCAGCCAGCTAAGCTGCTCCTGGATTCTGGTCCCACAGGAATGGTGAGGCAATACGTGTTTGTTGTTTTGTGCTGCTGAGTTTTAGAGCATTTGTTACGCAGCAGTAGATAACTATAACTATGACATAGCATAATTTCCGCTTTGCAGAGGTTTAGAAACAAAGTGTATAAAGCACCTAAATGTAGCCCCTGGTTTATATTAGTCACTCAACAAATTTCCATTGTTATCAACATTGCCCTAGATTGTGGGGAGCTAGCAAGGATCACACAAGACACTGGAGCTACTGCTCAGAGTAGCACAGGCTTAAGAAAAATAGGTCAGTTCCAGGTGATTAAGTCTTAAGGATTGGAGGATGGGGTAGGGAAGCTTCCCACTTAAAGTTGGGGAGGATTGCTTATTACTGAGACAGGGCAAGGCCCCTGATCCCGGTGAAGAGGTCAGGCTGTAGGCCATGAAAACAACAAGGCTGGGGAGAAGTGGGTGAAAGGCAACTTTCTCATGCAGAGAGCAGCCACTCCAGGGTTTGTACTTTCCTTCAATTCTACAAAATTCTCAGCCTTTATCTCTTTAGATGTTGTCTTCTCTCAGTTTTCTCTAGTCTGCCCTAAGTTTATGTTGTAGCTTGTCATTCTATCCTCCATGTCTCCCCACTTCCTTTTCACATTTCCCATCTCTTTCTCTTCTCCGGACTGTTTTGTAGTTGATTTCCTCGGATCTATCATCCAATTAGCTAATTTTCTCTTTAGCTATCTCTATGGTATTGAGGCCAAATTTTTCAAAAGACCGTATTATTTTTATTTCTAGGATTTCTATTTGGTTTCTTCCCCCCATATCTAACTGATCGGGTTGTATAATCTTTTGTTATCTCTGTAAACACTTTAAACATATTTATTCTTGAGATCCTTTCAGATGGCTCTGTTTTCTCTGTTTCCTCAGATGTGACTTGTTCAATTCTTTGAGTCTCTGGACTGGCCCTGCTGGCACTGTATTTTTAAATGTGTTTTAAAATTTTACTCCACAGGCTTGTAGTCCGTGGGAGTTTTCTTCCACAGAAGTTCCACGTGGGCCCTCACATGCCTGTCTGTGGTGTAGCTCTATGGTTGCCTATGCCCAAGACCCATGGGTTCACAGGTTCCAACTAGTTTTTATATTAGTTTCTCAGCTTTGGGTGTCCTCACCACTTGGACGGTGTAAGAAACAGACAGCCCACGGAGTGTGCTCCTTTAGAGGCAACCGTTTGTACACATGCCCTGAAGCAGAGTCTGCTCCCTGCTGTGACTCTGGGCTGTGGGACAGAGAGCTTCTGGTCCCCATTCACAGGGGGTGCCCTTGTCAAGCTTCCTGCTTTAGGCAGAGAGTCTAAGTCTAGCCTCCAACCACAGATGGACCTGTGGCCTCAGCTCATACCCCACGTGCGTGTATTCATACTATTATCCCTGAGGTGAGTATGTAGTTCAAGCCCCTCCAAGGACCATGTTCTTCACCTCTGCTCACTGCCATTGCTCCAGATTCTTTCTTCATTTTGGCCCTTGAGATTCCCACTCTCTTGCTATTTGTTTGGACTGGGGAATTACATGCCCATTCCATCCCCCATCCTGACCTCAAAGTGGGCCCTGAGATGCTCCTTCCCTGTTCTCCTGCTAGATTGGATGCTCCATGACAACGGGAACTGTAACTATATCTTCAGGGCCCATCACAGTGCTGGGCACATAGCAGGTGCTCAATAAATACATGTTTAGTGAAATGAGCAAACGAGGTAGATGGCAGGAGAGGTGAGCAGCAGTGGCTAACATAGGAATGAACAGGGTATACTTGGGCAAGTGTGAATGGAGCACAATATGGGTATAAGGAGGATGGCAGTGGAGGTCAGACAGGAAAGGCAGGTGGGGCCAGACTGTGGGGGGAGGGTGGGTCTTCCCTTCCACCCCTAGCAGCCTGAACAGGGTGTGGAAGTTAATAGGTAAACCATTGGAGGTTTCTGAGCAGGGGAGTGCTATGATAGAGCAGGTTTGAAGATTACAATTCTGGGAGCAGGGTACAGAAGCGAATTGGAGGGGGGAACGTGGAGGGGGGCCAGTTAGCCTACTGCAGTGGTCCAAGGGCTAGGATTGCAGGTCTGACCTCCAGAGGTAATAGGAATAGAAACAGAAGACCCATGCAAGAGACATAAAAACAGAAGCCTCAGAGGCTGGCTAGATGTGGGGAATGAGATGGTACAGAGCCATACTGTAGCCCAAGGGTTTGAGCCTAGGTAGCAGGAAGAACAATGACACTGTGGATGGAAGTAGAAGAGAGTGTGTGCGCACACACACTGAGCCCCTGCCATAAACCACTCATGAATGTAATGTACAAGGGGACACACACAGGTGGCCAGTGCAGCCTGAGCGAGAGATGGCCCAGCGGCCTCCCTGGCCAGGGAGGACCATCCTGACATCATGCCCGATGCAAACAGCAACCTGAAGCCTCGCAGCATCACTATCATTTTGAAACAAAACTTTGAGAAGAAGCAAGCAGTGATGATGGTTTCAGATTGAGTCCTCAGGGGTTTCCTTGTCCCTTTGCTTATCTCCAGGCTAAACCTACCAAAGCCATCTCTGTGCCCAAAATTATCCCCAAAATGCTTCTGCATTTCATTGTCCTCCCTAGGAGCCAATGAAAAATTTTCTGCTGCTCTTAAATGCCACAGCAGCTCACCAGCAATTTCCAGCCACCCCTCCAGCCCGCCTCCTGCCTCTTCCCATCAGCTTCAGTGATAACTGGACAACCCTTCTGACTAAACCACATACTTGGTCCGTGACAAAAACGTACCTGGCATTTCCAGGTACTCCTCTTCTGTTGCTTTCTAACTGCTTTCAGTCTTTTAACCTCAAGGGTGTGGGGCTTACCTACCTGAAGCCTTCTGAAGAGGCTCCCGGAACCCCCCAACCCAAAGATGGACACACTGGGGGGAAGTGTGCTAAGCTACAGAGAACACCGGTTCTGGATTCAAATTCGGCCTCCACCCTCCCAGGAGCTGTGTGATCTTGGGAGTTCACTCAACCCCCCCAAGCTTTGATTTGCTCAGCTGTGTAACAGAAGCCCTCATGTCTCCCCCACAGCCCGGTTGTGAGGCTCCAAAGAGAAGAAGCTGGAGGAAGCACCAACACAGTGTTGGCATGTGAGGTCTGCCCTCAGACAGAGGTGGAAGGTGCATCCGAGGAAGCGTCTGCCCAGCAGATACAACAGGAAGGAAGTGGAATTGAACAACTGCCATTTAATTTGTCCCCTCAGTCATCCATGTTTTCAGGAGAATAAGCTCACGGCCTCCAGCCCTTCCCCACAGAGTTCATTTTCTAGCTCTCTCCCAGCCCCAGTCTTCTGTCTTGTGTTGGCTTGCCAACTTCGTGTGCCTCTTGTTCCCAGCTCCCACTGCCTCTTCTGCGGCTCTGATCCCAGGGCAGGGTGGGGAGTGAGGAGGCGAGGCCGTCGGGCGGGGGGGCGGGGGGGACTTACCTGGGGCCGAGGGTGCCCCGTGACGAGGCACTGCAGCACGAGGGTGTCCCCCTCCCGGATGGTATAGACACGCTCGCTGATGTTGTCCTCCTTCACCACACATGCCTGGCCAGCGTGGACAATCTGAGCCTGGGCGGGAGCTGGGCGGGGGGGGAGGAGGGGGGAGACACAGGTTTAGGCAAGAGGCACCAAGGCCAGAGGGGGTCTAAGGCTCCCTCCTCTGAGTACGTTAGTGGGAGGAGGAAGCCCAGACCTCCCCAGGCCATTCCTCAGAGGCCTGACCTGCTGAGCTCTGGAAAGGACACTCCCAGGGCCCCAGGCCAGAACCAGAAAGGTCAAGGACTCCGGATCAGTTCCTCCTCATCCCACTCTCCTTGCAGGAGATCTGTGTTCTCAGTGAGCTGATGAGCATGAGGGGCTCAGTATCTATACGGACTGGTTATCACTCAGTGAGTACCACCGTCTTAGCAGGCCCTGTAGTGGAAGCTGCCGGTGCCCCCCCAGCTCCCTATACCTGGCGGGGGCGTCCACCCCACAGCTGCTGAGTGTTAGAGGCTAGGTGCACAGAGCTCCCCTTCCCCTGGGAATTGCCCTTCGCCAGTGGGAGCTGCCTGGGCCAGAAATGCCCACAAGATCACCCTTTTTCCCAATACGCACACATGGAGCCCAGTGACTGCTAGCTAGCCCCCCCGCCCACGCCACTGGTGGGATGACTATGGTGCCATTTACTCTCCAGAGTCCCCCCTGGGAACAGGTTGAGCCTAAAGCAACTGAACCACAGTTTTGCCTGGCTGCTTCCCCTTCCAGTGTCTCCTGAGAGCACTTTCTCACAAATCCCGTGCCTGACCTGCACCCTCTAAACCATCCCAGGCTTTACTTTTAGAGAGCTTGACTAAGTTATCTCCCAGTCCCACAGACTGCTCATTCCCCTCACCCAAAGGCCTGTTACTCTTCCCTCATTGCTCCCTGAGCCTGGGCCAATGTCTTTAACGGATGGAAGCTCTCTCCAGGGGCTTGGAAGCTCTCAAAAGACTGGCTCCTCCCTGGCCTTTCTCACAGTGACCTGGGCCAGGGGACCACAGCTGCAACACCCAAAGGGAAGATGACTGACTGGGAGAAGTACACAGCCCCTCCCTAAGTGTCCAGCCCCAGCCCAGCAATGTTTGGGCTCTGAAAAGGAGGGTAAGGCCCCTGAGTTCATACCTGTCTGCTCACAGCTGAGGATGGAGAAAGTGGAGGTGGGCACCAGGGGCACAAGGGACTGAAAACAGAGTCCTTGCCCTAAAGAGGTGCACAAAGATGAGGTAAAACCTATACATAAAATGTGTAACTTCCTCCAGGAAGCATCCCCTGACTGACCGGCACCCTCCCTCCTTCTGTACCCATCACTCCCCCAGTGCAACAGCAGAGCATCATTCTGCCTGTCTGCCAGATCCAGGGCTCTTCTCCTTCTGTCTACCAAACCATGAGTTCCGTCTTGTTATCCCCAGCACAAGGCCTTGAGTACAGTGGGCACTCAGTGAACGTTGAATGGATGAATTTACAAAACTATCCCATGGTGATGTTGCTAAGCATCATAAAAGAGGTACAGAAGGCCCTAGGAGGTCAGAGGAGAGAGAGAGAGAGTCTGCTAGAGGAAGGATCACAGAAGGTTCTAGAAAAGGCAGCTTTCTCACCAGGCCTCAGAGAATAGGGGAGCTTTGTGCTGGGTGAAGGAGAAAGTCCTATATAATATATATTACCTGGAGTAAACCATGAGTGATCTTTGGACCTTTATTTTCTCATCTCTAAAACAGAGAGAATGCTGCCAGCCCTGAGAACTCACAAGGGTGGGTGTGACAGTAACACAGGCTAGATGAGACGTGCTGAGGTAAACCCTGATGTGTCCTGCAGTTACTACAAGTAGCACCTTACCGGAGCCTCTCCAACCAACATGGATGGGACAGTCATGAACTAATTACAGAGGTGAGTCCCCAGAGGCAGCCGAGCTGTAGGTCAAAAAGTGTGGGGCAGCGACTGGGGGCAGCACATGTTGAACCATGAGAGTCTCTGCAAACAGTAACAGCTACCAGCAGCCTAGAGTCTGAGTGTCCAGACAACCATCCTGCCTGCCTGGCTGCCATAGAGGAATGAACTGAGGCTAGTTGTCAGAGACAAGCTATGCAACCTTGGGCAAGTCTGACCTCATGGGCCTCAGTTCCCCTCCTATAGCAGGGGAGCAGGTTAGAAGACCCTCTGAGATCCTTCTCAACTCACACTTTCTATACATTCGGTAATCAGCATGTAGTCCATATATAAGAGGCACCCTGGAATCCGGGGAATGGGTCTGAGACTCACACTCTGCGATGAAAATGTATGAGCATCACCATACCATGGCAGAGAGTCATCTGTGGCCAAGGACCCCAGGAAATCTCATCAGGAAACAACCCCCGCCATGCATGATGTGCATGCCAGTTGCTGATAAGACCAGAAGGTCCCATGGATGTCTACAAGAGGCCTGGGGTGCCTCTCCACAAGGAAGACATTGATATAACAGACTTCAGTGGAAGATAAGCTGTAATCTTGGACACTGTGGCTTGCCCGTAGCCAAATAGTGTTGTAACAACAGAAGGTTCGGTGACTGATAAGGAATACTGAAAAGGAGCTGGAGAGCCTGACATTCTCAGGGTCTGGCCAGCACAGGCCAGAAAACACAGGACCTGGCCAGCAGACACAAGGCCTCTGGCCACCAGCCATGTTTCCTCACTGGAGACCAGGCATCATGAATGATGACATCATTAAGATGATCTAACTCCCTTTGATGACATTAACTCTTAAGAGTATCAAACTCTAAAATGATAGAACCACTGTGGAAGAGATTTTGGCAGTACCTACTTGAGCTAGACGAGGGTATAGCTCATGACACAGCAATTCCACTCCTGGGTAGTACCCAGTGGAAATGAGTGCTTATGACAACAAAACAGTAAGTCCAAGAATATTCACAGCAGCTTTACTCATTGTGGCTAAAAACAAGAAACCACCCATATGTCCATCAAGACTAGCGTGGGTAAATAAATTTTGGTATATTCATATAATGGAATATTACACAAAAATAAAAAATAAAATAAAATAAAATAAAAAGAACTCCTAACAGATACAATGGCACTGTTGAATCTCACATGGACAATCTGGGTGGAAGAACTCAGACACAAAAGAGTAAATAGTATGTGATTTCATGTGTCTGAAATTCAAAACTGGAAAAACCGATTTTAAAGTAACAGTGGTTGCCCTTGGGTGGGGATAGGGATTATTTACTGGGAAGAGCACACCAGAAGTTTCTGGGGAGAAGGTGGGATCCCATCTGGTGCGGTGGAAATGTCTACATCTTAATCTGAGTGGTAGTTATATGAGTGGACATATATGCAAAAATGCATCGGGTTATTTGCTTAAGATTTGGCTATACCTAAGCTACACTTCAATTTTTAAAAATTGCCCATTGAGGTTATCAGGTTTCTTTGGTTGACACTAACCATTACAACTACCTACTCCCTTTACTCTGATTCCTATTTGATTTGCTGCTTCTCACGGCTGACTTCTTTGAGGTGTAGATTTTCCCTCTGGAACAAAGGGAAAATGCCCATGGCTTCCCACTGAGCTTTGCTAACGTGAATCAGCCTCCCCCACTCTGCTCACCCCTGGAATGGCTAGAACTGTGTTTTGGACCCTGAACCAACAGAGTCCCCACCAAGTCGCAGGCCCCCAAAGGCTCTGCCTCACTTAACCTCAGCCTCCTGTTCCACACGCCCTGGGAAGGCAAGGCCAGCCGCAGCATCTTCTGTTCCAAAGGCAACCAGGCCAGGACCTGTGTCAAGAGGCACCATGACATCATAATCCCTTCATTCAGTCTGTCAAACAACAAATGCTTCGAGCCGGCCGCTGCTGCGTGGGTGCTGGAGAGACTATCAGGAAAAGCAAACAACAAAGGAGCACTGTTGGGGAGATGGATAGCAAACAAGGGAACAGAAATGAACAGGATGGCTTCAGAGTGCTCTAAGTGCTAAGACTACTCTAGGGCAGGGGATTCGTCAAGGAACAGCGAACAGAGGAGAGATATGCCTTAGAGAAATGGGAAAAGCAGACAATCTGGGACTAATGCCTGGCTCTGCTACCCACTAGCTGGGAGACATTAGGCAAGTTACTTAACTTCTCTGAGCCTCAGCCTCTTCCTTCGTAAAATGGGAACAATAATGCCTTCTCCCGGGGCTGGCATGAGGGTTTAAGACAACATCTATAAAACATCTGGCCAGGGGCACCTGGGTTGCTCAGTCGTTAAGCGTCTGCCTTCGGCTCAGGTCATGATCCCAGGGTCCTGGGATTGAGCCGTGCATCGGGCTCCCTGCTCCGCGGGAAGCCTCCTTCTCCCTCTCCCACTCCCCCTGCTTGTGTTCCCTCTCTCGCTGTGTCTCTGTCAGATAAATAAATAAAATCTTAAAAAAACAAAACAAAACAAAAAAACAAAACATCTGGCCAAACAATATGTGCTCTCTCAATAAGTAACAGTTCCTGAGATGATTAAGTAGAAACAAGAGATGGGGGCAGGAGAGCGCCCCCTGGGGCCCCCTCAAAATCCCAGCGTCAGAGATGCTCAAAGCGGACATTAAGCCAGTAGGGACATGTTAAAATTCATGTTGAGGGCGGTGCAAGGCTTCAGAGGATCTGGGAACAGGGGGGAGGGATGGGGCCCCTTCTGAGCATCCCTCTCAACTTTCCAGCACACTCAGCTCTCAGCAAGTTACTTCGTGACTTTAGCAAGTTACTTAAGCCTTCATTTGCTCGCTTGTAAAATGGGCTTGTTGTGAGGAATACGTAAGTAAATGCACGTCAAGCGCTGAAAACAGTGCCTGGTACACGGTAAGCCATCTAAACATGGTAGCTAGCGTCATTATTCTATAAACGATCCCGCGCTCCTCTCAAGAACCCACCTCCCTGGGCGGCTGCAAGTCCTTTGCATGAAAGGACCTGCAGGGCCTTATCTGCCACAGATGGTGATGAATGATACCTTCCTGGGGTCCACTGTATATATTTCCCAGCTCCTTGCCTTGTTCTGAGAGGCAAAAAGAGTAAGTCTGATTTAGCCTCTTTTGGCAGAGAAGACAGAAGC